ACAATTAAGGGTCTCTTGGATACCCCATCTGAAGATGAGTTTAAATTAAATGTAATTGGCTCAATAAGGGGTATATTGGGCCCAACAAGATGTGGTAGAGTCTTACGCAACTCTAATGGTTTATGTGGTGGGTGTTTTCTTTGACCTACTTGGCATACAAGACTCCAATTTTGAAAAGCTTATGGCCATTCTTCATGCATTGTGTTTTTTCTCCCACTCTTCTTTTGTAAGCTCTAACTTGATTATTGAATGTGATTCCAAAAAAGCTCTATCGTAGGTGACCAACATTGATATGAGACCTTGGGACAAGTAGTATTTATTTAATGAAATTGATGCACTTATTCTTTCATTAAGCATAATGTCTTTTACCCATACATTACGAGAAGAAAATTGTTTTGCAAATCCTCTAGCAAAGTTTGGAGTCGACAGAAATACGATGTTCTCCGCATGATGGTAAGTTTTTATAATTTTATTGGGTTGAGCTGCTGCCTTTAGTCTTATGTTAATATTTTGATTTACTTATGACTTTTGTATTATTTTATGGTACTAAGCACCAATAGGCGAATCTTTTCTTTAATGCTACTAAGTACCACTAAGTTTGTACCTTGATTGTATATCCTTACCTTGATCTCTATATATGAGTTGATCTGTACACTGTAGTTTCTATAATTTTAATACAAATTTTATTTGACTAAGAAAAAAAAGGATTGAGAAATTGCTATGAATACGTTCTGATACACCAATGGATTTAATCGTGAGCATATAGCTCTAATTCACCAGGGAAAAAAAATATGGAAGAGAAAGAAGTAGGAGCCTCTTGGTTTAAATGGTAGTATTATATTTCACTTGATGCTTTTCTTTTTGGAGGAATATTTTTCTTCATTATGAGCCAAATAATTACTGGCAAAGAGATTCGCAAAATGGAATATGAATACTACTACTTTCTTCTTCTTTTTTCATTTCAGTATATATATTAATATATTGATTCGAAGTTTGAGGCCAAGTTAGTAGAATAATGTACAGTCCAATATCATATATATAGTCCTTTTCAAATGACCTATAATCTATTTATATATGATCCTCTTGAATAGAGGACTAAGTTAATCTAAACTATTTATTAAAAAAAAAAAAGAGCTATTATTGCAAAGGCCTCTTCCCAATGCACTGTCACCAACATGCATGCAATTCTAGGAGCAGCAAATGACATTAAAAGTATGCAAAGGATGTTTCTTCTGACTATTGGTTCAATGGCGATGCAAGCTGAGCTCTTCTATCAGAGCATTCAAATCGGAGTAAGATGAACCTCCTTTTGCAATCGCTCTTTTTGCTGCTTCTGCCAGCGCCTTGGTTCTGTTTCTCATTTCCTCTGCTCTGTCGCTCTTCATGATCTCCTTCACAGCCTTTTCTATTGCTTCTCTCTTCACAAAATCTCCCACCGTTCTCACCCATTGTTGAGCCCCAACGCCCACTCCAATCTTTAGGACTTGAGTCACCAACTTTTCATTGTAAAACTGCTCCGCGAACACTGGCCATGTGACCATAGGCACACCGGCAGACACACCTTCCAAGGTGGAGTTCCATCCGCAATGAGTCACAAATCCTCCGACTGCTTCATGATCAAGAATCAAAACTTGCGGTGCCCAGCCTCTTATTATAAGTCCCTTGCCTTCCATTCTCTTCTCGAATCCTTCAGGCAACCAATCCTCCTCTTCTTCGTTGTTCTTTTGTTTCCTCACAACCCAAATGAATTGCTGCTCCGATGCTTCCAGTGCCATGGCAATCTCCTTCAATTGAGCAGAGGTGAAGTTGGCCATACTCCCAAAACATATGTAAACAACTGAATTGGGTTCTTTTGAGTCTAGCCACTTCAAACACTCGTGTTCATCGATTGCTGATTTCTTTCCTCGCTCGGCTTTATCTTCAGTGGCCCTATTGCACAGCGAAACAGGGCCGATATGCCATGCCTTTCTTCCAAAAATATTCCTGTAGCAATCAGCATACGTGTCTTCGAGCTCATAAAAACTGTTGACAACCACGCCATAGCTTCTTAGCTCTGATTCTTTGGATGCTTTCACCATCTTGGTAAAGTCAGTTTCAGCATCTTGTTTCACGTAATCCGGCAGCTGCTTTTTTGTCAACTTGATATCTCCCGGAAGGTTAGGCACCACAAAAGGTTCGGAATCGGACTGAACTTTCTTGTGTGGCTCGTATAGCCTTATGCACTCCGATGCACACAATGAAAAGAAACTAGTTCCATGAAACACCAACCTCGGAATCCCAAACTTGTTTGCTGCATCCGTGGCCCAAGGAAAAAACATATCAGCAACCAAGCAATCTGGTTTACATTCTTGTAGCAGCTGTTCAAGAGGTTCTTGGAGCATGAATGTGGCCATGAAGAATTTTCTGACCATGTCACTGCTTTCGTCTTGGGAAGTAGGGATCAAGTCTGCGTTTTCACAGCCTTCAGGCAACCCAGCCTCAACAGTAGGAAACTTTAGAGTCTTGATACCGATATCGATACCAGATTCCTTGCTTCTTTTGATTGTCTTGGTAAAGAAAGAAGCATTGTGCGGAGTGGTGACTATAGTCGTCATCACTCCTCGAGTTGCAAACAGCTTGGCCATGTCCACTGTTGGTATCATGTGGCCATGAGCCATAAATGGAAAGAAGAACATATGAACCTGAGGAATTTCACTTCCCATACTTCTTTTTTGAAGGAGACTTCAGACTAAAGTGTATAGCTGCAATAAATCAACACTCGGAGAAAGTGACGCTGACAAGTGAATAAGTGATGAAACCAAAAGGAGGAAGAAATCCTCAGGCTGGAAATTTTTCTTCGGCTGTTTGAAATTGGGGTTGATTCCGCTGACACGAACGTGATCAGTTCTATAATGTTTAGGATCGAGAAAGAAATATAATGCTTGAAAAATCAGGATTATTCTAAGTTATACTACACACGTCCTTGCATTCGTCACCTCATCAGGTAAACCCGTAATTAATAGACAAGGACAAGTGGGTTACGTCAATAATTAAAAACATTAGGAATATTTCTGATTTTAGAAATAGTAATAGTTTGTCCAGAAAGGGGAGAATAGTTAGACACAGACAGGCTGTTCACTCGATGACCGTGAGTCAAGTGGCAATAAAGGGTTAGGGAAAGAGCAAAAGGTCAAATTGAACACGAGGACGCGTGCATAATCTCTTACGTCATAGATGATAGGATCAGTGCTGGGTCAAGCAAAAGGATGAAAATGCTAAGTAGAACACGAGAAGCCTCGAAAAGGGGAGAATGTGTGTGGTCTGTGTTTTATTTTGCTTTGCGTGGAAGCCAAACATAAGCATCTAATCTGTCTCCCTCTCTCTCTCTTAAAAAATTAAGACCAAGATATATTTGAAGAATAACCTTTTTATCATGTTAACTCCAAACTAGGGCATTTTCTTTCTATTTTTCATTTTGCATAGATTTGCAGTTGCCATGGTTTATTTAATTGATATGCTTTGGTTTATGATATCCACCTTAATTTATAAATGAATATCAATAATTGTCACTCAAGGAGGTTCTATATAATTCCACAATAACATGATTAGCATTTGACTTAAACAAAAACCAAGATTCTGAACCAAATTAACACAGAGAAAATCCGACCAATACTTGGTAAAGAATTTCAATTTTGGCTTGCAGCCTAGTAGGAAAATCCCACAGCTTCTCGAACTTATTTGTAACCCTTGAGGACAAAATTAGGAAGAAGAAGACGGGCAGGTTCATAATATTAATAATCGCCACGATGTGACGCCCATGTGCTCAAAGTTTCAGGTTGCAAAGTTTGACATTAATTCCAAGCTTGTTCGCTCCAGTGTGCACCGCACAAGAACGTTCCGGAAGCCGGGATGCATACCTGATCAAACATAGGTGATACGCCTTTAAATGCCTAGGATTAGGCACAGCACCGTCACTCTTTCGAACATAAAACCCTAAAATGCTAAAATCAACTTCTAGAAACGTTGGTAAGTGCCACTAAATTGTTTTGTTGATCAAATATATTATTGCTTGCAAGGTTATGTCTATTGGTATAATTCTTCCGTTTGGTAGATCTCTTAGTCCCACTTATTCTAAGTCAATAGCATTTCTGAATTTCATCTTTTAGGTCCTTCAAAGAAACAAACTAAAATATTGCATTTTGATTGATGTTTTATAGAAAAAGCAATTACAGGAGGGAAAAACTTCACTCTGACAACAAACAATATTTAAGAATAAAATATAAAATGAGATTAAGAGATACCACATTTTATACAAAAACAAAAAAGTGATGAAATTAAGCATATTGGAATTGATTTACATAATGAAAAATAACTTGATTTCATTTTATAAACTTTTTTTATATTGTTTAAGTTAAAATATTCTCTTAAACTTAATGATCCTTGTGTAGTGTAACCAGAATACCACCACATTCATCCAAAGCACATACAAATTCTAAAACTAATTTCTACCTCGCTTCAATAGAGATTTGTGAAAGATTAATATTATAGTTGCCTGTTTTTAGCCTGCCATTGAGTAAAGCGTGTCATAACGTGATGAGTCTGGAAATTCAACCGTTCGATTTAAGAAGATTTATTATTAATCTTTTTTACTTATGTGCAATTGATCACTTAGGCGAATCTATTTTTTAATGAAATCTTAGGTTTAACTTAGACTCATTAAAAATAATAGATTCTAGTCTACGAAGTAAATTAAGTTCGAAAGTCCTTTATGTGTGATGAAGGTATTAACACCTTACAATGCCCATTTAAATAGTACCTTATCAATTATGTGTCTTGTTAAGTCTTATTAAATCAAATCTAATTCAATATTTTAATTCTATTTCCTTTTCTTATTTCTAATTTATTAGTTTTTTAAAATAAATAATAGTTCTTGATATTGAAAATTTCTCAAAATCTCCCAAACGCTCATAGTAAAATTTTTGAAAATTCTCTCACTTAGAAAGTCTCAAGAAGTCACTTTTGGTTTTCTTAAGATTTTATCATTGGAGAATTTATTTATTTAATTCTTTAATTTTATTTCTTTTCTCAATTTTATTTTATTAGTTTTTCGAAATAAATAAAAATTCTTGATATTGAACATTTCCCAAAATCTCCCAAATGCTTATGGTAAAATTTTGAAACATTATCTCACCTAAAAATTCCTAAAAAGCCACTTTTGATTTTCTTGAGATTTTGTCGTTGGAGAATTTACATAAATTATATATTACCTCTTAATTTTGAAAGATCAAAAACATAAATAAACAAAAATAAAATAAAAGAAATCATAAAGCAAAATTATTCAAAATATTTAAAAACAAATCAAATACATGAAAGAAAAAAATAAAAGAACTCACCTAATTGGGTTGAGAAACCTAAAAAGAAAACCAAGTTATTTGATCAAAGTTACTCAAATAAATTGAAGTGGGCCAAAATAATGTTGTTTAAACTAAAAAAAGGAAGTTTCGTTGGTTGAATCTCATCAACCCACTCTCGTTATTTTGGCTTTTGCTTAGAGTATAAAAACTCCCTTTTCCTTCTTTTCCTTTATTTCATACATCTTCTTGTTTCTCTAATTGAGAGCTTTTCCTTTTAAAGAAAATAAAGCTCTCCCTTTTCTACTTGAACAACAGCTCGCGTACCATGACATCCGTGCTAAGTCATACTAATTTCCAAGAAATTCTCTCACTTAGAAATTCCCAAAAAGTCATTTTTGGTTTTCTTAAGATTTCGTGATTGGAGAATTATTTATTAATTTTATAATTTTATCTTTTATTTTATTTATTTTCTTCATTTTATTTTATTAGTTTCTCAAAATAAATAAAAATTCTTGATATTAAATTTCTCAAAATCTCCCAAATGCTTATGGTAAAATTTTGAAAAATTCTCTTACTTGAAAATTTTCAAGAAATCACTTTCGGTTTTCTTGAAGTTTCGTCATTGAAAACTTTACATAAATTATGTATTAGCTCTCAATTTTGAAAAATAAGTAAATAAAATAAAACAAATTATGAGGGCAAATAATTCAAAATATTTAAAAACAAATCAACTAAATCTAAGAAAAAATAAAAAAACTCACTTAATTGAGTGAAGAAATTAAAAAAAAAAAACTATTGGGTCAAAGTTACCCAAATAAATTAAAATGGGCTTAAATAACAAGAGTGGGTTGATGAGATTCAACCCACAAAACCTGCTCCTTTTAGTTTAAACAAAACTTTGTCGTTTTGCTTAGAGTCTAAAATCTCATTTTTACCTCTTTTCCGTTATTTCCTATTTATTCTTTCTTTAATTGAGAGTTTTTCGCTCTAAAAAAAACAGAAAACTCTTCTTTTTCCAAATTTCAGTCACCATCCACTGTTGTCGGCTGCCGTAATGGAATGTTACCAAATTTTTTCAAAAAAATCCTCTCAATGCTCTTGTTCCTTTAATTGAAATAGTTTCATTAGAAACAAAGTCGATTTTCCTAGATCTAAAAAAATTAAAAATTTCAAAACTCAAGAAACTCTCCCAAAAAAACTCTTTTTTTCCTTCCTCTTCTCTTTTAATTTGAGGTTTGGCTATATTTATGGCCAATGTGACTTAATCTTTCATATTTATCTCTTCTCTTTTTTATATTTTCTTGATTTTCATATGTTTTATTTATTTTTTAAAATTTGGCACACTCGAACAAATTGTTGTGTCTACAAAGTGCATATTAATTAAGGTATAATACTTTAAGAAAATCTTTAAATTATATAAAAATTTTAAATAAATTTTTATATTTTTATTACATTAAATCAAAATCTTATATTTTTATTTGAAGTCAAATAAATCTTTATCATTAACTATTGATTAATGTTGTTAGTTAAAATGTCAATTTTCATTTTATATCATATCATACTAATTGATATGTTATAGTAAATTATATAGTAACATATTAATACGGTATAATAATATAATCATATAATTTTTTTATTATTCATATCAATACCACATAAATATAAAATATTAAATACTATTTTAAGTAATATCAATTAATTAATGATTAGTTCTAAAAATTTATTTGATTAAAAATGAAAATATACGATGAAATTAATTGTAATAAAAAATAAAGATTAATTTAAGCTTTTTTCAATAATTTAGAAACTTTTTAAGTTAAGATTTACTAGGCATGGATTTGGAGCAAATTCCAATTACAATCCCATTACTCCTCCGATTGTAACCTAGTGGAACAATAAACATCATGGGTCCGTTTTTGGGCGAGCCTCAAGCTCCTTGAGCAAAGGAACTGCGTCCTTGTACGATGACCCACCTTCAACAGCTCTCTTAGCCATTTCTCCGATCTGTCTTGCTTTAGTTCTCATCTCCACAGCCTCTTCCCCGCCACCCATCAGCCTCTTCACCGCCGCCTCCACCTTCTCTCTTCCCACTGCTGCCCGCGGCTCCATGTTCCATGAAAGCCAATCTACGCTCCCCACTTTGACTCCAATCTTCAGGACATCAGTTATCAGTTTCTCATTATAAAATTGCTCTGCTGATATCGGCCATGTGATCATTGGTACACCACAACTCACACCTTCCAAAGTAGAATTCCACCCGCAACGTGTCATGAAACCTCCCACCGAGGCATGTTCTAGTATCAACAACTGCGGTGCCCATCCCCGGATTATTAGTCCGTTTTTGGATTCCTTCATCCTTTCTTCAAACCCACTTGGAAACCAATTTTTTTCATTTTCTTCCTCTTTCCCCTCGGCTTTGAAGACTTTTCCAATTACCCAGATAAAGGTGTGGTTGGAAGCCTGGAGACCATGTGCGATCTCCAGGAGCTGTTGTGGAGCTAAACGAGCTAAGCTTCCAAAGCTAATGTAAAGAACTGAATGGGGTTCTTTAGAATCAAGCCAGCTGAGAACGCCTTGCTCATCAATTGAGGCCCTTTAACCTCTCTCAACTTTGTCAGCAATATTTCTGCTGTATAAAGATACTGGCCCTACAAGCCACGCCCTATTCCCCAATTCTTTCTTGAAACATTCTGCATAAGCTGGCTCCAATTCATAGAAACTATTAACCACAACCCCAAGACTTTTATCCTCAGGTTTTCGCATATGCTGTTGTCTAAATCGAAGCACTGGAAGCTGAGACCGAGTCAGTTCAATCCGATCAGGAAGACCCGGTATAACAAAGGGCTCATAATCCGAACCAACCATCTCCTGAGGTTTAAACTTGGTTATATTTTCTCGGGCACAACTGAAGAAGCAACCGTTTCCATTGAAAACAATCCTCGAGATATCACTACTTTGTTTCATTTCCGTGGGATAGCAAAGAACTTCTTTTGGGGGGGTCCTTCAGGATGATAACGAAGTAGCTTACGTAGAGGGATGTCATCTTGCATGATATTCTTCTTATCAATTCGTGCTCTTTTTATCAGATTCGAAGTTCAAGCCCATTGTTGTTATTTTTCTGAAAGAAAATGCTATAAGGTGAAATTTAAGCCATGTTTCCAACTTCAATGATGGGAGGCTAGATCAAGGGAGTTTGAATATAAAAGCTGTTGACAGAGGTGTAGGTTATCCTCTGGCAAAAAAATGTGGATTATCCCATTGCAAAATCGTGTGACACTACCTCAATCTTTTCTTTTGTTCATCAGTTTTTAGCATGTATAGGGGGTTTATATACTTGCATATTCAAGAGTTATAAGTTGCTCCCGAAACTTAAATTGATTCAGAACGCTAAATTAGGAGCCAAAAACGTGTACTTTTCCAACTCCCCTAAAAGCCTTCACAGAAATAGATCTATTATTTAAAGGAATAGATAAATTAAAACATTCACAAACGATAAACTTTGCATCAGAAGGATATTTTAAGCAGTAGAGTTGCTGCATGAGATACTTTAGCAGATCAAATTCAAGCAAATTTACTTATATATATACCTTTTAACAGCTAAAAATGAAAGCAAACAAAAATATTTAGATACAAAACTTTTGATAGATGGTTACTGCAAAGGCACTTCTAATTCTAGCTAATGTTGCCCTATTTTCACAGGCCTATGTATGAAATTTAAACTAAAAATTAGATGTTGAACCTTATCATCAGGAAGGCTCACTAAACGGGATTAAGTTCTCACTTTTCCGTGGAAGTTGCACATGGCCAATAACTAGAAAAAAGAATAATCGGTATGTTGATAAAAGAATTGTGCCATCAATTTGGCACTGAGATTATGATCTTCAGCAGATCTAGGAATCATGGTGACCTTTCACTAGCTTGTTTTATCTGCAGGGCAGCTCTAACAACATTGCCCCTTGTAATGATTCCAACCTTTGAGATTTAAATAAAAACCAATCAATGATCATCCATAGCTAACATGGACCCAAGAAGCAGATTTTAATAGAAAACATGATATAAAAATTCTTACCAGCTTGCCATCACCATCTACAACTGGTAGTCGGCGATACTTGGTTTCAAGCAACAACCTAATATAAAAACATTGGAGTGAGAACATCTAGATAACAAAACAAATGCATTCAAAAAGCAGATAAAACAATACCTAGCAGCATCTTCCAGGTTTGTTGACTCACGAACAACAAGTGGTGAAGGTGTCATCAAGTCCCCAACAATTCTTCCATTATTTTTACTGATTAATTTCTGTATTTCATTGAATGTCTGCCATAATTACCCAGAATTAGAAAAGCAACAGTTGTGCCACACAATTCCTGATTACAAAACCTTTTGCCTAAAAACAGGCATTAGACATACAAAACAAAAGAAAGAGAAAGAAAAGAACAAAAGGCAGGGCAAACTATAATACAATCATGCGTAGAGGCACCTGGCAGCACCATATGCTGTTAAGTCAATAAATATTACCAGGGTCACAGCGGCAACAATGGAATTTCTAAAGCATGAAGGAATTTAGCAGCCAGTATCTATTAGCACTCAAATAGTGCTGCGAGACATTCAAACAAATTTCAACCAAAACTTAAGAAATACAGAATCAGAAGGCAGAATGCCTACGTACTTTCCAAGAACTATCAACATTAGGAAACATAGTTGTGTCGTTTTGACTGCAACCTGATAGTCATAAAGAAAAAATTAGTAGCTGTTTCAGAACAAACAAGAGAACCAAGTTTAAAACGAAAGTAGCGAAACTCCATTGCTAGTTAATCAACATGAGCAGAAAAGGTAGCAAATACTGGACAAAAGCCAATAGCTAATAATAAAAGTAAATAAAAATCATTGATGTATTATCCGTCTTGCATGGGGACACTAGATGGTATAAACTAAAAGAGGGGACCTGATTGATGGCAGAAAAATCCATGTAAAATACGTGTAGCATTCATCTCTCTTCCCATTTCTAAGTTCCATGCATTTCTCAAAACTTTATAAATATGCAGGATAGAAACGCCACCCCCACAGTCCCACTAAGTCTTGTACATAACTTTTAATTTGTAACTAAGCATCAAAAGAAACTAATCTTATTTACCTAGTCAAGGAAGGAAAGTTTATAGATTTAATGGAGTTAGCGAATAATGATGACTTTACACTTTAAGTATGTATCAGAATATCAAATCACTTATTTTCAATATCTTTTCGATGAAATTGTTTTAAAACAGCAAAATTAATTTTATCAAGATAGATGTTAGAATTTGATATCAGTTAATTTCTTTCTCAACTATTTCAGATCAATTTGATAATCCACTAGCAAACAGAAAGGAGAAAAGGCCAAATCAGGAATGAATAAACTCTTCTGACATTAATTAAATGTTAGGATGAAGACAATTTTGTCACCTTCAATATTTAAATTTGATCCCTTTTCGTCCTTTAACTAAACTCAAACAAACAGCAAGAAGAAACACCAAATTGAGCCAAGAAGTTCTAATTCAGTTTCATAATCACATTATAACTACCTGATATAGAGTCAAGGGCTAACAAATCATAATCAGAAACAACGCCAACCTGCAATCCAAAACAACCAGTGAGTATTAACTTGAGGAAAAAGGTGGTAGCCCAAATTCCCACTATCCTTTTCGCCAAGAACCAAATAGCTATGCAAATAGACTATGACATCAACAACCGAGCATTTCCCCACTCCAGTCAAATATACTAATTTTGCGCATAGCTATAACATATCAATAACAAAACCATATATCACCATATCAGAATGTCACAATTCTCTCTCTGTCAAAGCAATGTCTCCAATAAACATAAAAACTTCTCAGATAAAGAAAACAAACAGGATCCAAGTCCATATGTGAGGTACGCATGGGATCTGACAATATTTTCACAACGAGTTTAAAAACTCATGACCATTACTAAAAGAATACATAACCCATGATATAAATGATGAAAAACTAGTTGTTATAAAGTTACCAATTTCCAGTCATCATCAATCACAGGGAAACCAGTAACTCTTTTCTCCACAAGTGCCTCCAATGCTGCAATTACAGAATTCAGAACAAAATTAAAAGGGGAAAAAAACATAACATAGATATGGTGAATTAGTACGGTTCCCAAGTGTCAGTAACACCTTCATCAACAGTTGTTGTAGTTTTGACAACATGTAAATCCTCTTTCCTGGTCATAAAATCACCCACTGTATAATTTCCGTTTCTTGACTGCAAAAAAACAACAACCAAACCAAAATCTTGAAAACCCATGTAAAAAACAATTTACTTTTAACAAAAATAAAGCCAAATAAACCACCAAAAAGAAGAAGAAAAGAAAAACGAGAGGATTACGGGAACAGAGTTGGCGATGAGTCCGGCAGCACGGCGAAAAGAGCGCCTTTTGGGGAGAGACAAAGAGGGTACTACGTCACGTGAATGATGGTACAAGGAGACAATGCAGGGTTGCTTAGAATGAAGAAAAGAGTTGAAAGAAGGGAATAGCTTCAGGGTTTGATAATTGGCAAAGGAAATGGAGCCCATGTTTGTAAAAACGCCTCTCTTTTTTTTTCCCAGTGAAAAAACAAGGGAAAGATCGTAGTAATATGTTTATGCTATCACACCTGCCCGTTTGTTGATTAGAGAAAAATAAACACAAAAGGCTGCTTTGGGTGTCGTATAAATATGTGAAAACAGAGAAGAGGGGATTGGAAGGGGAAGATTCGTGGGGAGATGGTGATCAGTTGTTACTTGTTCCGCTGAAACGGGAAAGGAAAGTGTGTTTCCTTTCTTAAAGAGGGAGAGAGAGAGAGAGAGAAGGTAAATGGTCGGTACATTGTAGGACTTTCGCTTTCCTTCAAGTCCCCACGCGCCACTTATGCTTTGTCTGGACTCCGAATCTTCACAGCTTTTGAGCTTCAAGAAAAATGCGACACAATCACACCTCTTATTCCTTCAACAAAAAATAGCATAAACATTGTACAAGGAATAATTATTCAACGCAAAAGAATGTGAAAGTGAAAGACAATTGAAGCAAAATTTGCTACAATGGCGGATGGCGGGTTTGGACTTGGACTCCTAAATTAGCGGTATGTACTACCTTAGTATGCGAGTAATGCCAAATGCCAATTGCATAGAAGAAAGTCAGACCATATTTAATTGATCAAACTTTCAAATACTACAATTCAAATCTTCAATCTTCATCAGTTAGGTGCTTCTGGAAACGGACAGCTATAGATCTCACCTCATAAAACTGATCAAGCCATAATCTCCTAGAAGTAGTGAGAATTTCATTTTCATGTATTATTTTGATAAAAATATATTATCAATTATTACTATTTTTAGCAATTCATTTATAAATTTTAAATATAAAAAATCAAATACTAAATTAATCGAATTCAATCCATTTAGATGGATTTATTGGATTAATACTTACCTTTAAACAAACACAATTGAGAAGGCTCATGTTAAAAGCATCACGTCCCTTTCCGCCTCCCCTCCTCCCTTAGCCCACCGTCTCCTCCCTAATGGCAGGTGATGCGAGGGGGGCGGCACGGTGACGCCAAAGAAGGGGTTAAGTTATAGATAGATGTGACTGACTGGGAACATCTGGCTTGGTATCACGCGGTCAGCATTGGCTCCCATCCAAATTTTCCGAATTTTCAAAGCTTTTTGGGCCGATTGGGAGTTCTCAATGTCTTAAAGTTGAAACCCAGTGCTATGTCCAATACAAATTCTCCACACCACCCCACCGTTTCAAGGGTATGCGTTGTCAACGTCCACTATAATTACGTACAACTATTTATTTTCCTCCACCCAAAACGCAAATTAAAGTCAAAATAACAAAAACCAACAAAATATAAAGATTAAATGCCTCACCATTAATGAGAAATTGTTCTCATTTTATTGTTTCCAATTGACAACTTGTATTTATATGCCATGCTATCTAATTTAAGTGGTTAAAATGAAAACGATGCTTTTGGTTCTAAGCCTTAGCTTGCACAACACTCCAAAGCAACAATATTTACTACAAATATTGCCATTGTCCAACAATTAATAAACATGATAGTTATTGCTTACTTATCATATCGTCAAAATATTTTTTCAGTCTTTGTATTTTTTAATTTTATTTAATTTAATTTTTTATATTTAAAATTAAAGTAATTTAGATTCTTAATTTTAAAAATTACATCAATTTAACTATTTTTTATAATGACATTCAAATTTACTATTAAAGTATGACATCATTTACAATGTTAACACTAACGTGTCACATTTTGATAATGTCACATTTAAAATGATGACATGACATATCATGTGGCATCGAGTGATGATGTGGTAATATTATATGACACTATACGATAACGTGCTACTGACATGTTGACATGTTAGTGCCACATGACAGATAAACAAATTTTAAAAAAAATTCTACCACATCATAATAATGAAATTGAATAAAAATATATAATATAAAAATTAAATTGAACAAAATTAAAATGTTAAGGGACAAAATTGAAAAGTATAAATCTTTAAGTAGATTATTAATATGCTTATCAATAAACTAAATATTTAAGTGTAAAAGATT